CTCACTCCAGCCCTCACTCCCTGTCGCTCCCTCAGCGCCCATGCAAACACCCTCACTCCAGCCTTTCAAGGTTCTGCCCCTTTTGTTTGGCAAAGTTCAGTTCAGTTCACACTGGACCGTCTTCCCTATTGAGAAAGTTACTCCTGAATAAAACCTACTCTTCCTACTCTAACTAGGATCCGGCTTGTGTAGCTTGGACACAGGCCAGCACAGAAGTAGGAATCTGAGCTCAGACAGTCTGTGCATTACCAGGGCCCTGTGGGCCACTGGAAGCAGGAGGACAAATAGTAGCTTAAAAGCAAATGTAGAAAGGAAACTTAATCTAAAGGGCTAAGCACATATTTATAGTAAGAAAGGATCAAAAGGTTGCTAGCAAATGCAAATGAAATGGTCGTTCTTTTCCGCTTAGACTCCATTTTTGGTTTTACTTTGAATTATTGTAAGCCAGCTCAGGTTGTTTTGGGAATAGGCAAGTTATATGCATAAATAGATATATCAAATTCAGCAAATTAGATCTCTTGATTAAAAAAAAAACCTCAGCACAACAATAGCTGCTTATAACACACAGAATAAAGGCAACGTTGCTATGAACACTCAGAATTGATCAGATACATAGTGTAGTGTTTGTTTTTATCATCAGATTCCTAACTTAAAAGGACAGAAAAGTTTGTGAATATCTTTCTTCTATCAATTTATATTTCTTGGCTTATAACTTCTCTACTAAAGAGAATGTGTTCAGATGTCAACTGTTTCTTTCCTAAGCAGTTAAAGCCAGAAGAGAGAAAGAGTTAAAAAAGAAAAGAAAGGTGAGGGGAACTGAAGAGGGAGAGAAGAGGAGAAAGGAAGGAGGGGCGGGGAGGGCAGGAGAGTGGGCAGAGGAGGAACGGTATTTAGCATAGCCTATGTCACTCCATAATATAAAAAAAAAAAAGATTTAAATATATTCTCAGAAGTTAACATATGATACCTTATAACAGAGGAAAGGAGGGGAGGGGAGGGCAGGGCAGAGCAAACAAGCCTCTGTCTGGACGCCTGTATCCTGCACAATTATCCTTGGGGAACAAGGGCTCGCAGTCTGCTGGGCATCATCGT